TTTTGGTACCGGATCAAACTCGGGTCCTTATGCTTGCAAGGTGGGCAGCGGAACCACTGAGCTAAATCCCGGGTCCAAGGTATCTTGTCCCAGCGATGGGAAAGTAACTAGGACACATGGGCAACCTGGCAGTGTTTGGAGGGAGAGAAGCATGGACTTTGGATTCAGAGATCTAGTACATCCCCATTCCAACATTTCAGGAGTTTGACATAAGCATTAACTTCTTCATCTAGAACATGGAGGTAACAACACTGCTATAATCTGTCAACTCAGATCCTTTAAGTGTAAAACTGGTGGTTAAGAAACACAAAAGTCCCTCATTAGATGAGTGAAGGTAATGTAAATACAGTGTATACATACAGTGGAATATTATCCAGCCTTAAGAAGGAAGGAATTTACAGGAGGCCTCAAAACGGAAGGATATTCTGTTACAAGCTACAATAAGAATGAAACTTGAAATAAACCAGATGCAAAAGGACAAATACTGCACAATTCCACTTACACAATGTACCTAGAATGGGAAAATTCAGAAAAAGTAGGACAGATTACCAGTGTCTGGAATGAGAAAGAATGGGGAAATCATTGTTTGATGGATGCAGATTTTCTCTTTAGGTTGATGAAAAAGTTCTGGATTTGCAAGTTATGACAGCTACACAGTACTGCAAATGTACTTAATGTCACTGAACTGTACTTTTAAAAATGGCTAGAATGGTAAATTTTATCTGTAATATAACTCTATTTAAAAAATTATTGCTAGCAAGCTAAAGCCACCCTCCTTAGGTAGGCAGAACATTCTTTTTGGACACGCCTAGTGTTCAGGCATAATCCTTTCCACTTCCTCTCAGCCTCTAAAATCTCCCAGCTTGCACCATAAACTTAAAGGTCACCCTATTCTTATGGCTTTTCTCACAGTAAAGGAAGATAACTTGCAATATTCCCTTTCCTTCTACCCAACCCCAACTGTTACTGAAAACAGAAGCTATGTCCAGGATCCTTTTGCTTCCACTTTTGGTTAAAGAGATTAGAAAAGAAAGAGGAAAGAGCATAAACCATAAAAAATTTCCTTTATACTTGCAGATTTTTCCTAAAATTATTAGATTTTATTAAAATTCAAGAATAATAGTTTGAGCCAACTGTATACACATTTTAGTTTATTGTTTGGAGCCATAATGTACCTGAAAAACAGAGTAGGCAACACACTATCTATTTTGAACAAAAAAGGGAAGGGCAGAGTGCATAAAACATGGTGACATAAGCCACTAAAAATAGGCAAGGGACAATGAGATCTAAAAACCCACTGAAGGGGCCAGGGATTTAGCTTCTGCCACCTGCCTCACAACACAAGGACCTGAGTTTGATCCCTGGTACCAAAAAAAAAAAAAATCCACTGAAGGTATTTTCCAATGCCAACCAATAGGACAAAATGTTTTCCTGCTAACAAGACTGAGCATAACTTTACTTATAATTTTTCCATGACCACGGAGACATAATGAACATGACCTAAGCTGTAAGTCATTTTCACTCTGTAAAAGTTTTTACACTGTAGGTCATATCAGTGGATTTCATCTCAGAAGGGGGAAGGAGGGTGGCTGAGCATAAGGAGCTTTTAGTGTAGGGAACAAAGCTAACCACGTAGTTCTAATGACTGTCACCATCCCATGTGTCAGGACTCACGATGAGTTACTTACAATGCCACAGACCAAAAAACTGAATTACGCTATTTTAAACTTTTAAGGTAGCGCTCATGCTATTTTAATCCCAACTCTATTCACTCAAATATCTTCCTTTCATGCTCTTCTCTGATTGAAATCAATCAAAATCTAATTCTGTTCCCAGACTAAAGGGTAAAATTCAACTATTCATTGCATTTCTAAGTTCCAGCTCAGTATGGCATCTACTTGTCCAGAGTCTTCAAAGAGCAACAGCTGGTTTCAATGTACCTCTACACAGAGACAGGCAGCTCATACTGTCCAGGTCTCTCCACTCTATCCCCAGTACCTGGAGCGGGTGGAGTATGAAGAATCAGCTCTCTGCTGCAGGGACTACAGATGGAGCCCTGGTACCCTCTCACTCGGAAGGCGTAGTGACTATTCTCTTCAAGATCAGAGACAACTTTGCTTGTGCCACGCACTTGGATCTCATTCCATGACATGTCCTCGTCTCTATTAATCTTCCGATATTCCAGAACATAGCTGTCAGCCTTATCCTTTTCCGGATGGTGCCAATTTATCAAGGCATTGTTGTAAACTTTGCTCTGTTCCTCATTGATTTCAGGCACATCTATGCCTGAAAGAATCAGAAAAAACAATGTTAAAATACTGATGTTCCAAACTTGTATTTTTTTCTCCATAAAAATGATGTACTGAAAATGATTTTATACTGTCCAATAATTTTCTAAGTTTATAGTACTATATATAATAAAAATAATAAATATAAATATAGGGTATTTATATTTATAACTGAAACGAGAGAGAAAAATGAAAAACACAAAATTTGAGACTCAATTATAGCTTTAAGTATTATCATTATTAATTTTGAAACACCATAAATTACAATAGTATCCATATTTTTCTATGTACTGAATAACAGCTTTAGACTTAAAATTTTTTCATTGTATCCTCCCATATAAAAATTATTTTAAGCCAGGCGTGGAGACCAGCCTGGTCTACATAGTAAGTTCCAGGTCAGTTATATAGTGAGACCCTGTCTCAAAATATATATATGACTGGAGATGTACTCCAGTGCAAAGTCTCTGGCTCAATTTCCAGTACTGCCAATAGTAAAAACAAAACAATAGTATTTTTACCACTCCAAAAGCACATTTTGTGCTCTAATTACAACCCTCTATAGCCATATTAGCATCTTTGTGGGGGGGAGAAAAAAGAAAAGAGCGGGGGTGGCTGGGTGTATGGCTGTATGATAGAATATATGCTTAACATGCAACAGAGTTTATACTACACAAACATACACATACACACGCACACAAACCAAGA